TAGGCCGGTTGTTTGTTGTCAAATGACTTTTTTATTATCTTGGAGTTTTAAAAGTAGTGATGGTCACAACATACAGAAGTACGTGTTTAGAGTAGTAAGAAACCAGCGAGGGGCTGGGAACTGTCTCCCAGCAGCAGACACGCTTTCAGGGGAGGGGGAGCCCGGTGAGCCGGTGCAGCCCGGGGACCAGCCCGGCTGTGAGCAGCTTCCTGGAAGCTGGGGTTGGTTGTACAGGAGAGCGACGCAGTGATTCCTGGGCCTGTGGTGTTCTGTTGTCTCTCGTGGGATCCTCTGTTACTGCTGCCCCCAGCCCCAAAAAGGAGGATGGGCGAAAAGGGAAGCTTGCGTTCATGGATATAAAAACAAACCCAAACAGGCCAGGCTCTTAGGTAACGGGCTGACTGCGCCTTGGCCTCTATCAGGTGCTCTGCACACAGAGCACTTAACCCTTGTTCTGCATCTTATCAGAGAGGCACGAGAGGTCATGTTACACGTGGAGCAGATTGGTGTGGGAGAATTTTAGCCTCGGCTTTGTGAGGCAGAGCCTGCTGTGCATCTCACTGTCACCTCGCGTGGGGACGTGCATTTGGGCGACAAGGAACCTGGTGGCATTTCTTGAGTGAGCTTTGTGTGCCTGGCACAGCGCCAGACATGGGGACCCACGGATGAGGAATTGCCGATGCTGCCTACCCTTGACGTGTGCATTCTGGCCTGGGCTCCTTGCGTTAGCCCAGAACTGCCCCTGACGGTGTGGCACCATGTGGTCGTACCAGGAGCCAGCAGACGCGGTGTGTGCGGCAGGTTAGGGCTGTTGCGGGTGAGACCCGAGAGAACGTAGGAAGTGGTTCCGGTTGGAAGGCCGGGGCCCCGCATCCCTTTGTCACACGGCCGTGTATGGTCTGCTGTGCTGGGAAGCAAGACGGCTGCCTGCCTGCTGGCTGGTCGCGCTCTGCCGGCACAGAGGAGGCCCGGGACGTACCCCCGGTGTGACTGCAGGGATTTCACCGAATCCGTGCTAATTCACAGACTCCACGCGTTTTATGAATAGAAACTGTTTCTGCTTTTAACTGCCTTTGTAGGAGTGTACAGCTCCACTTCTGCTTTTATGAATCAGGATCGTCACCAAAATACATGCATTTTCTATATTTACATTTATTTATTATATTCCTATTCTTGTTTTTCAGTTGTTGGTTTGTCTCGTCCTCACTTTTCTCACATGCAGGGATTGTCAGCAGGGGCCTCTGTTAGCAGGGTCTCCAGGGTGGGAGGGCGTCCCGAGCAGGGTCTCCGTGCAGAGCGGATGGAGTCCACACGTCTGCCTCGGTGGCTGGGAGGACGCGTGCTGGAGCTCGGAGGCCTGGCCAGCCTTCCCCGCGCACCAGCAGCGTCTGACGGGTCCTAGGTGCTCCGCGGAGGTTTGGCAGCCAAGGAGCTTGGTGCTCTCCTTACAGCCAAGCGAGTGCAGGGGACAGGGTGGCGGGCAGGAGCTGCACCCTCAGCTGGGTCGGGCAGAGGCTGGAGGGGTACGTGGTGGCACAGGGAGGCTTGCGCCAAATGCAGTGTCAGGACGCCTTGGGATGGGACTGGCAGCCCTCTGGGACTTACTGCACGTGGCTCTTTGAGTCCCGTTTTGCCACCTTTGTCTAATGTCTGGAATAGGAGCTTTCTGATGTCATCATCTCAGTGCGCATTTCACAGGAGGGTAGAGAGTTCTGGTCTGACTGAGGGATGCGTATTTTGGGTAAAAGCATGAGAACATGCCACCAATACAGACCCTCTTGCTGGTCTCGGAAACCTGTGGTGCAAGGGTCACACAGGTCCGCCGGGGTTTGGTTTCCTTTGTAAATCAGGTCAGTTGCTGGCTTATGATACGGCTGTTTCATAAAACCCTAGCAGATGTCCCTGTTAAACTTGAAACCGTCGATCAGAAAACTAAGTTCATGTTTCAATTTTACAGAGACTTGAATAGAAAAAGTAATCAAATTAAAAACTGCAAAGCTAAAATTGAGCTGCTTGGGAGCTATGATCCACAAAACCAACTCATTATTGAAGACCCCTATTATGTAAGTACACCTCTCATCTCTGGTCTGGCGTGATGCCAGCAGCAGTGTGGGGACTTGCTGTGTGTCCTGCCTCCTTCAGCCACAGATTCCGGTTCTCCGGAGGGCATTGGGTTATGCGGGTTTTTCTTTCTTCTTCCATGTGCTTTCAGGGGAATGAGTCCGACTTCGAGACTGTCTACCAGCAGTGTGTGAGGTGCTGCAAGGCCTTCCTGGAGAAGGCCCGCTAAGGCCCCGCCCGTGCTCCCCTCGTGCCCCGCTGGGCCCCACAGGCTCTCCTGTAAGGCCGCGTGTCTCCTTCACTCGACCCTCGGTTTCTTACCTTAAGCCATTGTAGATGGAAATCAGTGACTGTATTTGACAGACAAATAAATAAAAATGTTTCCTGCAGACAGTTTATGGGGTACGTGAAGTGTTCTTAGACCCGTTGAACCTCCCACTTTGTCCCAGTTTCAAAAATAGTGGAACAAACAAAACAGAAAAGGCACCAGAGCGTGAGGACACCCCGCGTCCCTTGTGGCACACGAGCCCCACCTCTTCCTTGGGTTCGTGCACGACCGACGGGGACCGTGGCCTCCGCTGTCTGCCCAGGCCAGCCCCAGGAGCCCGTGCGCAGCTCCCCGCCAAGACTCGCCGTTGCTCACAGTGGAGCAGTCGCCGTGTCCGTCTGCGGAGGCTTTCCTGCCTGCCGGTCTCTCTCATCAGGATGCCAGCTTGAGTGCATTCAAACGTTTACAGCCAGAAAGAAGGAAACTGTATGCTGGTCTGTCGTACTGTCAGTTTGAGGAACGTGTCTGCTTTTCATGCCTACGAAACCCAAATGTCAAATATAGACTAGCTTAGGTGGGAAAAAATAGTTAAAAAGCTGGGAAAAGTTCTTTTTATGTTGGGATGCTTAAATATCGAGACATTAAGTGTTCTCTCATCAGTGCTTACAAATAGGTAATCTCTATGCACTTTGAGATAACTGATCTAGAATTCCTATGGCTATATGGCAGAAAAGATTGTTTTCAAAATAAACTGGGGAAATTATAAAAATACAACTAAGAAGTATGGTGTCTGCCTGCTTTCTTATTGATAAGTGAAGAAGAATTGGAAAACAGTGGCTCTCTTGTCCCTTTCAGATGACCTATGAGGTTCTGTGTGTATGTTTGTCTTCAGTGTTAGGGAGTCAAAGGACAAAGGTCCATTGCTTCTGCTTCTTCGTGAAAGACGTTTGAGGCCCCTGCAGCCATACACATGTCCTTGGCTGACCCCACCATCTGGGGAGTGTGGCAGTCTTCTCCTTGGAGCTGGCCGTCCAGGCTGGGCCTTCCTGGGAGGCCCGGCTAGATGAATGAGAGCTTGCCGTGCCTCCCGACTGCCCCCTCAGTCCCATCCGGTGGCCCAGAGTCCAGGGAGGGCCCCAGGTGTGGGCTGTCATCCTCCAGAGCCTGAATGGATCCTTGCTCAGAAGTAGGAGGACTTTGGAGGAACAGCTGCCCCATCCGGGTGGCTGCTTCTGGGTGTTGTGGGGCTGCCTGTCCTCAGAACTTGGGGGTCCCGTGTGGGGGTGGGGTGGGGGCATTAAGTCCTGGAGGATGATCGTGGTGACTTTGTCAGCACCCCTCCAGGATGTGTGTCTGGCTCCCTGTGGGATTTCCCAAAAACAGTCCTACCTGCAGGCGAGCGGGAAACTTGAGAGGTCACATGGATTGGGAAATTGGTGATGGTGTTCTAAAAAGTGAAGAATGGAGTGGAAAAGATAAAGTAATTAGAAAATAGGACTAAGAAAGAGCACGGCAGGGTTAGCTCTGCCCCAGTCCTTCAGTAGTTGCTTAGTAATCTCAAGGTAATCCCATACTCCGTCCCTTCAGGATCATGAACAAATCCCCGTAGTCCGTTTTCCTTACGGTTCGCGTCTGTATCTCAAATACCGACCTCAGACCTCTCCTGGGAGTTGTGTCTGCTTTAGCCGTGCAGCTGCATCCAGACGAGAGGTCCTGTGGACAGAGAAACTCAGTGTTGAATTCACCTGTCGTAAATGGAATGCAGTCATATTTGTCCAAAATGTATCACCTGTAAAAATCAGCTGCTTCGAAGTCTTACCTCTTAGCTTTTTCATGATCATGAAGTCGCAGAGGAAGATACAGAGGCAGCCTCATTTAAATATTCACCACCATATTGGCCTCTGTCTGAAGACCTGCCGCCGTGACACAGTAGCTCTCCTTTTAAAAAACGCCAATTTAACTGTCCCTTCCGAGAGCTCATAGCCTCCCCCTTTCAATTGGGAAGGGGATTGATGCCTTTTATATTCCATGACGTTCTGCCAGTGTTAGGATCTCTTCACAGGCCGTTAAGTCATGAATTCCCACTGGTAAGCTTGTTAGAAGTAGAGTCGCTTGGAAGACTTGGTTATCACAAACACTTTGTTTATTACTTGTTTTATTTACAGTATTTACATATTGCACAGCATCTGGATACTATCTTACATTTATGATACAAAGGACAAACGAAATTAGCCTGGATATGTTCACAGACTTAAACTCCACTGTCTGCAAAACACGACAAGTTTTTTTGTGGGTTTTTTTTTTTTTTTTCCATGCAGTTCCAAATAATACTCTGGGAATTTAATTGTAAAAGTAACAAAAATATTAAATCATACCAAATGCTATATGAAAATATAGTTTCAGATTCTGTTTATGTTTCTAAAGAAATACTCTTTGAGATTCACCTACCGAGGAGGATGAAATAGCTTTGTCTGTCGGTTATGGCACTACGCATTGGATGTGGAGCCCTCACTTCTCCCCAGCAGCACGGACGGCAGGAGTTGCCGTCAGGGACGCTGATCTACTAGTACGCATCTGCCAACAGTGTCGACAACGTATAAAACTCAAGTTAAAGGGACTATGGAAGAGTCTGTCTGCAAAAATAAATCTCTTGTTCAAGGGGACGTGTTCTGTGAAGGCAGCAGGGTCGGCTCCCTGTTGGTCTCCAAGGCACTTCTCATGGTCCGTGGGCTCTCGGTTCTCCGCAGCTCTGCTCACTGCTGAAAATCACATTTGTTTTGTAGAACTCCACACTTTCTTATCGATTCTAGAAGACCTGTGCGTCAAATGACATATAATGTGTCTGAAAACACAAGCAATCACCGTCTGCATGTGTATTTCTCTCTGTTCCAAAGTGTCGTGTGTCTTACTGTGGAAATGACCAAGTTCTACCATTGGGACACTCCTGCTGTGCTGAAGGAATGAAAGCCGTCACTGGGGCAACCAAATGCTCACTACTCGGTTCCTCCTCAAGTCTGAGGAGCAGTCCGCAGTCCTGACGTGTGTTGGCGGGTCCTCTGATTCGGGCCACAGCGATGGACTGTCTGGCAGTCCTGAGAAACCACTCAGTGGCCCTTATGCCTCTGTCTGCATGAGCATCTGCAAAACTAAACACCAAGAATGAACCCTTTCTTCTAGCGCTCCATGCAGTACGCCCGAACCACTGGTATACTGTTCGTTAATATTAGAAACCATGGTAAGCTCCAGGGTCACTGGACTTAAGCTGCATCTTGTGGACTGAATGGCTACTTGTTACTCAGAACTCCATTTCTAACTTACCTGAGCCTTTGAACTTAGCTGCAGATCTAGGCAATGAAGTGGTGCGTGTGAGAGGTCCCGAGTGTGTCTGACTGGGGGAGAAGCTGGGAATCTAGTGTCTCTTAGGCTGGAGACAGTTAACAAGACAGGAATTGTTTCGGAAAGGACCACAGGGCATTGGTCTTCCCTCCTGTAAGCAAATGGACGTTCCTTTCCGAGGATATGCCTGGTTTGTCTCTGGAAACGGTGCTCTCTCTATGATGGCAGGCTTAGGAAAAAGGACATTCCCATCTCCCCTAGCATGTCACCTTCAGACACTTAAGAGAATCCAGCCCTTGCTCTAGAAAGAGGTCTTCTGTATGCCATGTAGGCAGTGAGAGAAACCAGACAGGACTCTGATGGGAGGTGAAGGTGGAGGTCCAGGTAGCGCACGGCACTTCTCAACTCTGGCGTGAAAAGCCATGCTTTTACCTCCCCCACGTGACAAGGCCGTGCAAGCTTCTGTGCACCTGCAGGGATCCAGTCTCACGGTCCTGCACTAAACCACACGCTTCTGTCCTTATCGGTGGGACTTTGACAGGGAGAAGACGGGGCTGGCAATGGCACTGGCTGTACCTGCGTGCCCAGACGGTGGCCGTGGTTTGGCTCGGCCCCCTGGGCACTGTCCAGACCTTTATGGGCACAGGTTTTCCCGCAGCGAGCGTCTGTGCGGAAAGAACACAACTCCCGCGCCCATGCACACGAGGCAGACGGGGTAGCCACGGTCTGTGCACGGTATCACGTCCCCTCTGCTCACGTTTCCGGACAGCCCGTAGGTGTCCCGGGAACGGCCACCGAGGACCAGAAGCGGGTCTTGTCTGTGGGGGTAAACGTGGCCTCTCGCAGTGCCCCGCGCACACCAGACACATCGTCAGTGTGAGATTGTGAAGTGACCGTTTCGTGCCTGAAGTCCACACATTTGTGTCAGGAAGAGAAACCAGCTGGCAGTGTGGCTGATTGTTGGTGCGCGTCGGCGCTCAAGAGGCCGAGGCTGAACATTTAGTTCCTAAACTCAGTATGCTTTTCTGTTTTACCGCTGGAGGCTGTGGGAAAGCAACTGATAGAAACAGAGCGAGAAGAGCTATTCTTGGCTGTTCCTTATGAGCTTCCGGCATAACGATAGATTCCAACTGACACATTTGCCAGATCTGTCTGTAAGGTTGCACGGGTGTGGTTAGTCATATACTCATTTATGAGTGTGAGTGAATGAGTGAAAGCCTAAAAGTGAACAGGCATGATTTCAGCTCTGTGTCCTCGTTTATGCATGAAGTCATGTGCTGAAATTAGTCCACGGAGGGGGTGCGTTTCCAGCGAGCGCACTCTGCCCGCCCTGCACTCCCGGGGGTCGCTCGCAGCCGCGCCCTGGGGCACTGCACGTAGGCTGGCGGGGCGCCTTTTACTGATGGCCCACATCTGAGTGTCAGGTCGACCTTACTCCAAGGAAGCCTACTTAAACCAAAGAAGGAGTATTTCTGAACTGCCATGAATTTTTCATGTCCCAAACGGGATTTGGGTCTGTGGTGTGTGCACCCGTGAGGCTGCGGTCAGCTTACCTTAGCCCTCCATGCACATTGGACTGACAGCCAGCCGGGTAAGAAGCCGGGCACATCTTTTATAGTCTGTAGGGAACATAAATCGTGGACCCTTGTCAGTGACATCAACAACTCCTGAAGTATTTTTAATATCAACTGCTAAAGCCATTGATTTCTTTAAATATTCTGAATTCCCCGGGAGTGAGCCGCGGACTGTCATCTGAAATCATGGGCTCTAAGTTGTTGACTGAATCGTTGACACTACTTGAGGGCATTTCGTGTCCCCTGGCAGGAGATCAGTGATGGGACTGGATGCTGGGCGGGGAGGGGCGGGTGCAGGGTCTCCTTGCACCCGTTTTCCTTGCCCGGTGGCCCCTCGCGCTCATCCAGATGACTCTGGTTTTGCTCCCTAGAACGTCTCCCGCGCCCCGTGGGACTTAACTTTCAGGGCTTCTGCAGTCTGGGTCCCCGCTTGGGTTGATCCTACACAAAACCCTCTGCATAAAAATGTAAAGAAAGTGGGTCAACAAGTAACAGAGCAGAAAGACCCAGGTTGGATGGTGAAAGCAAACAATATGCTAATTTCTGAGTACACATGGGTTTTCCTTGATATCTCACCTAATTTCCTGTTAAATCACTCCATAGGTGCTACCTCAGGGAAAACAAGGGAGGTTTGGTGATCACGGCCACAAAGGAATTTCCTCAGTTTGAAGTTCTGTGGAAACCTACAGCAGTTGATCAATTACTGACGTTTACTTCTCAAGAGTCTCAAAATCCTACTTAAAATCGAAGAATTCATGCTCTTAACTGAAATTCTGAATGAATGAGTAAACTGGTAACTGAATTTGCGCAGTGTGTCGAACAAGCAGCTACTCCCAAAAATTCAGCTCCTAAATATTTAGACAACATAATGGTTTGTGTTCAAAGGGGAAAAAAAAAGGCCTAACAGCTGGAGACTGGGTCATCTGGATTCCTGGGATTTTTTCCCTCTTCCCTGGTTGCACCACGTGTTTCCGAGTGCGGCTTTCCTAGATAGAGTACGAGCGGAGGCCGTGTCGCGTGAGTTCAGGGTAAAGCACATCCAGAGACCGTGAAGGGGACCACCACCCCCCGCCCCCGACCCAGCATATCTCCAGCTCTGACATAATCGGGATCTTGTCCAGGGGCAGCCCGGGGAGACTCCAACGTTCTGCTCTTCCCAAGGGCTGCTTTGGGATGATGCTTTGCGTAAGAAGGCTCTGGTTCCTTCCAGTCCTGACCTCCCAGGATTCCAGTTTTCTCCCATACAGCCTAAAGCAACACAGAAGGGGTCCAGCTTCGGCTCTCTACCTCCCCATGGGAAAGTGTAAGTATCCCCTCCCCCAGTGCACACACCTGCGGGCTTCCATGCCTCTGAAGGGCCTGAGGGGAGCTGAGATGGACCCTGGTGGCCGCCTCCCGCAACGGGTGAGCAGAGATCTGGGTGGTGTGTGGCTGAGTCACTCAGCAAAAGGAGGCAGTGAGTGTGGGTGCACACGGTGTCCTGGGGAAGGGTTTGCAGAGTCGAGTGTGGGTCTGTGTGTCCGGCACAAGGAACTGAAGCATGTTGTCTGTTTCCTCATCCATATATGAGAAGATTAGAAGTAATGACCCCGAGAGATCACTTTCAGATTTAGAATCTCTGATCCTATATTGTAAGATGGTATTTAAAAGTGTAGACACATTTTAACAATAAAAATGAGAAGGTTCTCTGGCCCCTGGAATAATGAATAAGTCTCAAGCAGAAGAGGATCCCATGTCAGAAGAAGGAAGTGGGGGAAGGCCATGCCAGGTGCACAGGGCACAGACGGGAGGGTGGACCGAGGAATAATCCGAGAAATAATAATAATAATCTGGAGAAATAATCCGAGCTCCGTGGGGCACGTGCTGTTGGCCGTGGCTGAGCCCTGAGCAGCACTGAAGGCCGAGCACCCCAGCTCCCTGCGGAAGGCGGTGCTCCCAGTTTCCGGCCACCCTGGGCAGTGCGCCCAGACAAGGAGTGCCACACGGCAACACCGATGGTTTGGGGCAACCTTCCTGCCTGAGCAGAAAACTTCCACTTCATAGGAAGTGCCTTATTTTTTTTTACTTCTCATTTTTTGAAGGCAGGGCAGGAAAGTCTGGTCTGTCTGTACACTCAGGGTAGTCTCGGAAAGCAGCTGCTGAGACCTCTGGGGCATCTGCCCCACCTTCCTCCTGGGAGCCTCCAGGAGAAACTGGCTCGGGTCTCTTAACTGGTGTCACTGTAGCCAGTAAGTCACTTGTCATCATTCCGTGTTTTGTGAGGAGCACTAGCAACCCTCTTTGGGGGAATAAAATACACTTTGTTACAGATCAACAGCCAGAAAGCTGCAGCTGGGTGCTGGACGGAGAGCGGAGCCCTGCATCCCGGGGCTGGTGAAGAGCAGCCTGTCATCCGGGCGGGGTGGCCCCGGCTACTGCAGAGCCTTCCCCTGTGCGGGAGCTGGGGTAGCGGCTCATTCTTAACGTCTGCTTGTCATAGACACAAACACGGACATCATGCCGGTTCATAAGCCAAACGAGAATGTGAATGGAAGAGTTGAGCCCATTCCAAGAGTTGATCAATTCCAGTGAATGTGAATAATTTCCCCTTTGGCACTAGCAGAACGCAGCCACCTTCCTCTACAGGCTGGTCCCCCTAACCCTAACCCCATAGTTAGGAGGGAACATATATTGGCAAAGAGCAGATTTAGAAGGAGGGGCGGGGGACACGAGAGACACATGGACCCACGCTGGTCTTCCCAAGCAGTCAGGAAGCTGTCACTTACATGCAGGGATGGTGCAGTCTCTGGTGTTGTGGTAAAGTCTGTGAAAGTGTTTGCTGCACTTTGGACTGAAGTAAAGAGGACCTGGAACGTGGAAGAAGAAGCAGAGTGTGAGGCCTTGAGGATGCCAGGACCCGGGCACAGGCGAAGGAATGACGCTTACCTGTAAGATGTTTGAGGAACTTGTCCTTCATCCTCAGATCTCGAGGAACAATTTCTGTTTGAGAGAAAGAGGCTAGTTACTGCATTGCTTGAAACAAGCATTTTTTCCTGTGCTCTCAGTGTTGAAGACGGTTCTCAGAAACTTCATTAACCAGTCACACTGCACTGTGTAAAACAGATCGGAGCCCCCGATCACTGTACATGACCTAATGTGAAGACTTGTGATCAGATCCCAATTTCTTCAGATAAAGTATTAGCTATTCACAAAGCTTCAATATTGTCTTGTCTCTGCCACTAGTATGAGGACAGTAACCATAAAGTTATATCAGAGTGAAGAGGTGTGTGTGTGTGTACGCGCGCGTGTGTGCGTGTATGTGTGTGTGTGTGTGTGTGTGTGTGTGTGGTTGATAGTTAGCTTCTGATTTATAAATCGCTTTTAGGCGTTTTCATTTTGGACGGCTTGGTAATCAAATACCACAAGCTCTCAAAGTTCCCAGTCCTTCAAACAAAATTGTCGTTAGACTTTTTTTCCAGGTATATACTTAGAAAAAGGATTAAATGCCTTCATAACCACCTGTTACAAAGGCTGGTGTAAATGCACGGAAAGAGACATTTAACTGGCTTGTAAGATTAACGTAGACCTCCCAGAGAAAGACAGCCCTCCGTTTTTGCTTGGGAACTAGCAAGGCGCTCATTCTTTCTGCTTCTGGGCGTGGCTTTTCTTCTTCACAGTCACCTGTAAGCATTTCTCACGCACTCGTTCTGGGTGGTAACTTTAGCCGAGATTGCTTGTGGTCGCACTTTGTTCTACCGCGAACGCTGCTCATCTGAGGAGGGAACGTTTCCTACAACGGCTCCTGAATGTCAGTCTATGAAATTGACCTTATCACATTTGACCTAATTGTGTCAGGAAAGCATTAAAAGCTTGCATGCTTTCTCTGGAAATTTCCCACGGGGCACCCACTCTGGGAAGGCTCTGCCGTTGGCAGAGAGGGTGAGGGGAGGGGGTGGCTCCGAAACATTTCTGTCTGGGCTGAAAGTGCTTTGCTGAAAATATTTCCATTTCCTAAATACCAGATGACAGTTCTGTGCCAAAGCTCCCGACCTAGGTAACAACTCACGTGTCTTGCAAGTGGGGTAGGGATAGTTACACGCCAGGCATCAGCCTGTACCCAACTCCTATTTTTTTCTCAAAAAAAAAAAAAAAAAAAAAGTCTAGTTTTTTCCAAGCACTCGAAAAGGTTTTATCTTTTTAAAATACATCTGCTTTCTCGAAGTCGGTTCTGTTGCCAAGCAAATGCGAGTTCAGGGTCTGCTGAGACCTGACAGGTACGCAGACGCGCTGGGGGTTCCCTCTCCAGCGCACACGCCCCAGAAGCCTCGCCCGCAGGTCCCTCGGTCCGCGAGCCCGACGCCAGGACACTCACCCACTCGCTGCTCCTCGGGATAAACCGGGTAGTCCGGGACCTCCCTGCGGCCCAGAGCGTAGTCGTGCGGGCCCGGGAGTTGCAGCCTCTTGGACTCGCCCGAGTGGTACTTCTTGAGCTCCTGGAGGATCTCCACGATGAGCCGCAGCACGGTCTGTCCGTCGGCCGCCTCCCGGGGCTCGGCGACCCCGGGCCCCGCCGCCCCCAGCACCAGCAGCAGCCCCAGGAGGAGGGGGCGCCCGGGCCCGCGCATCGTGCGCTCGCTCGGCTGGAGGGAGCTCGGCTCGCTGGAGGGGCTGCGTGCGGGGGAGACCGGGGGGAAAGTCGGCGGGCGGTGGCGGGGCGCGCGGGAGGCCCCTCCGGCCGAGCCCGCGGCCCCTCGCCCCCGCGCGCAGACCAGGGGCCGGCGGCGGAGGCTGGGGCGCGGTGTCCCCGGGGCCCGCGCAGGCCCCGCCACGGCGCAGCCGAGAGCCGGGCCTCGGGCGCCACCGCCCCGCTCCGCGCCCTCCCCCGGCCCGGCCCGGCCCGCCTCCGCGCCGGCCTCCCAACTTTCCGAGGGCCGCGCGCCCGCCCGCACTCCGCGGCGCACGCCACCGCCACAACTTTCTCAACCTCGCCAGCCCGGCGGCGCGGCCGCGTCCACTCCGCGGCGGGCCGGGCGCGCACCCTCCGGTCCCGGGCGGCCGGAGGACGCGGGGAGGGTCCTTCCCGGGCCCCTCTCTCCTCTCGCCCCCGGCGTTGCGCTCTCCGGGGAGTGGGGGCCGCGCGCCCCGCCCGAGCGGCCGCGCTCAAGTTTGCCTTTGTGTGGTGGTCGCCGCCTCCTCCCGGCCGGGTGTCCCCCAAAGCCCCCCCCGCGCCCCGGGACCCTCGCGCCAGCCGCGCGCAGTGCCAGGTTTTAGACCCCCCCTCGCCCTCGGGGAGGGGACAGACCGCGGCCCACACCTGCCCGGCGCCGCCCGCGGGGCCACCTGCGCGACAGAGCGCGGCCAGGTTACCTGTCCCCGTGTTCCGGAGCCGCGGGCGTCCTTCGGCGTCTGTCCCGGCGTCTGTCCCCGCGTCCCGGAGCCGCCGCGCGCCCCGCTACTCCATGGCCCGCGGCGACCCGGCGTGCGGAGCGCACAGGACGCGCGGGGATGGAGACGCGGTGGCTCGGCCGCTCGGAGCGCTGGACGCGCGGCTGCCTGGGCTGCGCTCCGACCGCGGCCGCTTCTTATGCCCGCGCCCGCCGACGTCAGGCCGGTCCCCGAGGGCTCCGCGCGGGGCTTTAATTAGAAGCCGCTCAAGTGTTCGTACCCCTGTGCGGATCTTCGTCAGACACCCCCCCCCATCTCCTCCCATCTCTCCCTACCCCCGACTGTCCCCCTCCCTCTCCCCTCCCTCCTCTCTCTCTACCCCGTGCTCTCTCCCTCTGCCCCATCCTCTCCCCTCCCCCATCTCCTCCTCCGTCATCTCCTCCTCTCCCTCTCCTCCCTCCCTACCCCAGCTCTACCCTCTTCCCCTCCCCCGCCCAGCTCCTGCCTCCCCTTGGTCTTCCCCTCCCCCTTCTCTCCCTCAGTCTGTTTCCCTCCGTTCCTGTCACTTGTGACAGGATGAGAAGAAACGCCTTTACCAGGAACTCAGATCTGTTTTTGTCTAAATGTAGATCTTGGGCTATTAAAAAAGGAGCTGCCTGATTGCCTCGACATTTAATAAGTCAATTAGCGTCTATCCTTTTGGAGGAATCTTCCGGAGTGGCTGGGGGCCACTGTCAAGACCCCAAGAGGTGTGCCCCGCCCCAGGGTCTGGAGCCAGAGGCCAGGTCCCTGAGGCCCCGCAGCCCCCAGGGCAGGGGGCTGGGTTCAGGGCACGACAGGAGCAAGGCCCTAGTGACCTGGGGATGCACACAGGTACCTGGCAGGACACGTGGCAGCCCCCTCAGACCCCCCCCAAACCACACATAAGGAGGAGCCCAAGCCCCTCCCGCAGGGGACAGCAGCCTGCAGGCCAGGCTCTGGGGACCAGTGGCTCGCTCCCCTTCCTCAGAAATGCCGAAGCAGACCTTGGGGCACCTCCCTCCCGCCCCATCTTTCTGAAAGTTTTGGTTCTGTGGATACAGGCAGGCACATTTGTGAGGCTTCCACAGCTTATCTGCTTTAATTTTTTTTTCTTGTAAAATGTATTATCAATCAACTGCGCGCTTTCCCATTTTATTGGCGCTTTCTGGGCAAGAGCTGGACATCCTCCAAGTCAGAGATCTGAGTGGGAAAGGTGTTCTCAGAAGGACTCCAGAAGGGAGGGTGCGCGCAGGAACTAAAAGCCTCACCCTTAACGCGACCAGCACCCAGGGCCTGGCCCAGAGATGCGGCGGCCCGCGCTGCGGACCCCTGAGCTGGTGCTGGGGATCCCAGGGGCGTGGACCCCCAGGGAAGGAACTCTCTCAGTCTGTATCTCTTTGTGTCCCTGTCTGTCTCTGCTGTCTCTCTGTCTCTGCTCTATCTCTGTGTCTCTCTCTGTCTCTGTCTCCCCTCACTAGTTCTGTAGGTGTTTGTCAAAGTGAAGCTGGGGTAAACAGAGTAGAGACAGAAGATACTAAAATGTGATCATCCAAATCCCCCAACACCTTTGGGGGGATGTGTATACTCCGCTCTCCTTAAAAGGAAATGGTTTTATTTCTCAGTGAGCCCTTCTTTTGGCAGGCAATATGACTAAAATGTGAATGTTTCTGCTAAGACATACTCAAAAACAAGGGGAGGGGGATTCTTATTAAACAGTTCTTGCGCAGATAAAGTGGGATTTTTTTTTTCCTTTTTCTCTTTCCCCTGACAGAGGGGTGCCCGTCTGTTGCCCAAGCGCCGCCTAGTGACAAAGCTCCAGTCTGTGGGGACCTGCAGTGGCTGGTGCAGGGAGCCTCCTTCCCACCCAGCAGAAGGGGCACATGAAGCTTCTGTTGTAGAACATTCTGGTGTAAAATGTCTTTGGTAAATATATATATACATACATATATGTATATGTATATATATATATACATATATATACATACATACATATATATATACACACACACACGTGTGTGTGTGTATTGCTATAGTAAAAAAAAGAAAAGAGTTTAGCCTAATCACGTATTAATTAAGTTTACATAGAGTCTTCCCTTTTAAATACTATTTTACAAAATCAGGTGAAATCAATGAAGAAGTTTAAGAGGCACAAAGTTCCTGTTATAAAATAAATAAGCCTCAGGGATGGGAAGTACAGCCAGTCATACTGTAATCATGTGTGGACAGATGGTTGCTACACTTACGGCAAGCGTTTTCTAGTATATGTCCTGTGAAATTACTATGTTGTACACCTGAAATTAGTACTATATGTCAACTATGCCTCAATTAGAAATGACAAATTAATTTTAACAATTAATTTTTTTTAAATTTAGGTTTTCCTAAAAAATACCAATTAGAACTACTCCCCCCTCCTCAAATTCTACCAACCAAGGAAGAATAGTAATTAATATTGTCCTTTTTTCTTTTGTGGTTTCTAAAAAAGATTTTATAATTTATTTTAGAGAGTGAGCATGAGCGGAGAGAGGTCAGCAAGAGAAGCAGACCCCCCAGCGAGCAGGGAGCAGATGTGGGACTGGATCCCGGGACTCCAGGACCATGACCTGAGCTGAAGGCAGATGCTTAAGCAACTGAGCCACCCAGGCGTCCCATTTTTGGTGGTTTTTAATGGGACAGACAAATGGATTTTTTAAATGACTCCATTCTATCACCCAATCATATATGCCAGTACTGTAGCCCAACTCGTCAGATACTTAGGTGAGTAAACAACAAGGACAAAAATGGTGCTTGTTTGGTGTTTAGTTTCACGAGATCCGTGAGATCTGGAAATTAGGGATCAGACCGTCATGTTTTAATTCATTCATTTTTGCGAAGCTCTGTACTGAAATGATTCCAGGAGCCACTCAGTTTATATAAACCATTTTTACAGACTTTCTCAACGAAATAAAAACGTGCGCTGAATTGTCATCTCAGCTGTCTGTTCAGTTTACAGTGTCGTCAGGAAGAGCCACTTGGAGTTCTCCAGTCACCGGAAACACTCTGACTGGCTAAATTAATGGTCTGTGCTGGTTCAGGCAAAGCAGAATATGCATAAACGGGTTTACGTGAAAATACGAGTTATGTTTGACAAGCGGCTTGGGCTCTGCACTTCTTTCCTGTAACAAGCGGAGCTGGGGCTGGACGGTGTCTGAAACCTACAGCTGAGTAACTCTGTTACGGAAAAGTCAGAAAACAAAAAAAGCAGTATTCCTGCAAAGACCCGAAGCTATTCACTAAAATAGTCACTATGAGTTTCATCACCTGTTTTCATGCAAGAAGAGGTGATACATTCATCTTAGATAATTTAATTCCCTTCTTTAGTCAGAACAGCCTTCTACTGTGAAGGGTTCAAAAGAGACAAGACAGCGACACGGCCCTAAGCTCTATTGGCAAAAGTAGCTTCTGCTAGATTTGATTTAGTTTTGTTTCCTTTTTGAGAAAACTGTGTTAGATCGTAGAAAGAAAATTAACAAGAGAGGGGAAAGTTGTGTTTAACCCACTTTTATTGTAAGATGTTGTAAGATGGGCAACTTATTTTTTTCCAATTTATAAATAGTATAAAGTTCCAGTGCTTCAATTACAATGACTTTTCACTCTTCCTGTAAAGGTATAAATTTCATATGAGATGACTAACTACCTTCAAACACTGCCAAAATATATATATATTAGCTACATGTTTTTCAATAAGTTATTATATTTGTCCAACCATTATGCTGATCATTTAACAATCTAACTAAGATGGTATTGGAGAGGAAAATATTACCTTTCATTAAGAACAACTTTATGTTGCTATAAAGAAATGTTACTAAATACTTACCTTTCATCAGCTCTGTTATTGTTATCGATACATTGTTAGCACACTGGGAATGCACTAGAAAGCGTGTGAAGCATTTAGGAAGACACAATTTCTAACAGGATCCTGGTGTCAGTGTCGTCAGCGTAGTCTCTGATAGTAATATCGTGCGTGTGCTGTCCAGCGGCGCACTCCGGATGGACGAAATACCGCCTTCTACCCGGTCCTCTCTCTCCTGGGCAGATGAAGCGCACTTCGGGGAGGGCATGGGGGTCCTCCACCTCCTTTTTCTTTCTCGATGCATGCTTTACACCCGCAAAGCCACACTGCAGTGCCAGTCCAGCAGGGACAGGAGCCAAAGGTCACAAAAGAAGTCTTGGAATGCTCTGTGACATGACTGGTTTACTCTCGCTCAGTTTTCTTACCCCATGGCCAAGAGGAAGAGGTTTGTTAATGGGGAGGCTTAAAGGGAGCACGGGCTTGACTTTGTTCCCTGTGCAGAAGAGCAGACTGAAATGAGAGGGGACGGACACACTTTGAAGAGATAGTGCTACTGGTGTCCACTTTCTTTCAGGAAAGCAGCACACAGAGTGAGCATGAACACGGCTGTGGGTCACCGGCATTGGCTGCAGTTCTTATTCCCACGCACCAGCCTGTGAACTTGGGCAAGACAGTGTCTCTGAGACCAGTTTCTTTATGCCTAGAAGGGAAATGACTTAGTAGTATTACGTCAGGGTCTTTGTGAATAATAAATACAATAATGTATGTCCACCTTTTAGTTCAGTGCCTTAAAAAAACTGATTGAACATTTCTAACTATTACTAAATTGTTCATAGTGTATAGTCTCATTAAGTCTTTTTCTGTATTTCATAATTTCTTATAGTATTTCATAAAAAAGAACATTACCTGTATTCTATAGTTTCTGGGGCAGCATGATTTTTAACTCATTCAAAGCTACACAGAAAATCTGTAGTTAGGAAGGGGACTAAGATATTCTAAATTATTAAGTATCCACATACCCAGTAACCAGAGTCGTGAGATCTCAGGCCACTGAACGAGGGCTCACCCCAGTGAGTAAGAACTTACACCCATCAGTGACGGTTTAGACCAGTATGTGAGGGCTCATGGCGGTGAGGGAAGGCTCATGCTGGTGAACAAAGACTCACACCAGTGACTGAGGGTTCACACAAGTGTGAGGGCTCGGAGGAGTGTGTGAAAGTTCACGCCAGTGAGGGAAGGTTCA